AATACAGGAGAGAGGGTTAGTATAAATGAACTTTAATTTCATCTCTCATATAAGAGGATTAATAGATAAGATCTAAAGATATTTTTACTGCTTTTGGTAAATTAATCATTTTTATTTAAATTCCCATAGAGGTAACCACCAGAGAAACTTAAGAATAGACTTTTAAAGTGGCTGTGTCTGGAGAGTGGAGTTAGGGGTGGAAGGAGTGGAAAGGAATTTTTCTTTTTATTATACATTTTTATGGACTCTGTTGTTGCTGTTTAACCATGCACCTTCATTAAGGAAAGTAATACCTTTTTTCCCCTTAGTCTTAATTTCTACCCTAAAATGCGGTTTTCATGAAGTAAAGTCTACTTTAATGTAACCTTAGTTTTCAAAGGTATGATGACAACAGGTCAGATATGAAAGAATTAAGCACACATTAGAAAAACAAACTTCTATGCACTTAAAGGATTTGAAATGCTTGCTTTTTCAGTTGTTGCCATTGGTTTTCTGATTTGGGGCCTCTCTGTCACGTGCGGAGCCAGTGTCTTTAAAATTTTAGTATAATTAGTTTTTAAAATTTCAGTGTAGTGACAGCATGCCACAAAGTAACAAACTGACTCAAGAAAATGATCCTGGAAAGAAATGAGAGCTCCAAAAATAATCTCTGTAGTCAACTAAAGAAAAACTAGCAATAATAAACTTCAGGAGGATGATAGATGCTTCCCAGAGAAGTTTTACTAATTGTTTTAAACTGTGAGTGGTTAGTAACTCTCTACCCAGAAACTGATCCACTGTACATAATGAATATAGACAACTGAAGAATTTCCAGAAATTTCAGAAGGTTGCTTTTTCTGAAGGAGATTTCTCTGCAGGAGAAATCCCACATATCATTGGAAGGTCAGATTTCATAACTCACCATGTTTGAAAGAATGCAGAATTTGAAGAGTGCTTCAGGCAAGAGATAGAGGGTCAAAATCCGCATTGCCTAAGAGTCTCTAGTGATGATCTCTCTGGACGTGATCCTAGTTGAAAAAAGAAAGATATATGAACGCTTTAAAACAATGCCATGGAAAAATACTAAATAGCAAGCATTTACTTCATGCTTACTGATTTTAGTGCAATGTATTCAGATTTAAATTACAAATGTTTTTGGCCTAAGTTTGTTAAATGCACAAAACTCCCCCCTCAAAACTTTTTATAATGTAATTTAATCTCTAGTAATTAGCCCTGAAGTTTCTTTAAAGTCTCAGTAGATGTTGAGTTTAGCTCTTCTGTTGAACTGTTTTTTGCTTTATCATCTCAGATTACTAATTTTCATTCATTATAAAGTCTGGCAGAAGAATATATTATATATATTTGTATAATTCACATATTCTAAGTATTATTCACTTTACAGTGCCACCACTTAATGATTATTTATAGAATGTGGTTATTAAAATGAGCAGCGGATATTAAATCAGACTGAATCATAAGCTTGGCTCTAATCCTAGATTATATAACAGTGGACAAATCATTTAATTTATCTGGGCCTACCTCCGCTTTTGTGAATAAAGGAGTCAGATTTGACCCTTTAATTCATGATTCTGTTTCTCAGTCAAAATCGTTAAAGTTCATATGTAGTGAAAGATTTTATGAAGAGTCTGCACAACCTTTTTTTTTTTTTAATTTTATTATGTTATGTTAGTCACCATACAATACATCATTAGTTTTTGATGTGGTGATCCACGATCCATTGTTTTCGTATAACACCCAGTGCTCCATGCAGTTCGTGCCCTCCTTAATACCCATCACCGGGCTAACCAATCCCCCTCCCCCCTCCCCTCTAAAACCCTGTTTGTTTCTCAGAGTCCATAGTCTCTCATGGTTCATCTCTCCCTCCAATTCCCCACCCCCCCACTCATTTTTCCCTTCCTTCTCCTAATGTCCTCCTTGCTATTCCTATGTTCCACAATAAGTGAAACCATATGATAATTGACTTTCTCTGCTTGACTTATTTCAGTTGGCATAATCTCCTCCAGTCCCATCCATGTTGCTATAAAAGTTGGGTATTCATCCTTTCTGATGGCTGAGTAATATTCCATTGTATATATGGACCACATCTTCTTTATCCATTCATCTGTTGAAGGGCATCTCGGCTCTTTCCACAGTTTGGCTATTGCGGACATTGCTGCTATGAACATTGGGGTGCATACAGCCCTTCTTTTCACTACATCTGTGTCTTTGGGGTAAATACCCAGTAGTGCAATTGCTGGGTCATAGGGTAGCTCTATTTTTAAATTTTTGAGGCACCTCCACACTGTTTTCCAAAGTGGCTGTACCAACTTGCATTCCCACCAACAGTGTAAGAGGGTTCCCCTTTCTCCACAACTTCTCCAGCATTTGTTGTTTCTTTCCCTGTCCATTTTGGCCATTCTAACTGGTGTAAGGTGGTATCTCAATGTGGTTTTGATTTGAATTTTGAAATAGCCTGATGGCTAATGATGATGAACATTTTTTCATGTGTCTGGTTAGCCATTTGTATGTCTTCTTCAGAGAAGTGTCTTTTCATATCCTCTGCCCACTTTTTGACTTGATCATTTGTTTTTTGGGTGTTGAATTTGAGAAGTTCTTTATAGATCTTGGATACCAACCCTTTATCTGTAGTGTCATTTGCAAATATCTTCTCCCATTCTGTGGGTTGCCTCTTTGTTTTGTTGACTGTTTCCTTTGCTGTGCAGAAGCTTTTTATCTTGATGAAGCCCCAAAAGTTCATTTTTGCTTTTGTTTCACTAGCTTTTGGAGATGTATCTTGAAAGAAGTTGCTGTGGACGATGTCAAAGAGGTTACTGCCTGTGTTCTCTTCTAGGATTTTGATGGATTCCTGTCTCACATTGAGGTCTTTCATCCACTTTGAGTTTATCTTTGTGAATGGTGTTAGAGAATGGTCGAGTTTCATTCTTCTGCATGTGGCTGTCCAATTTTCCCAGCACCATTTATTGAAGAGACTGTCTTTTTGCCATTGCATGTTTTTTCCTGCTTTGTCAAAGATTATCTGACCATAGAGTTGAGGGTCCATATCTGGGTTCGAGTCTGCACAACCTTATCCTCAGCTCTTGCCATGTTCCTTAAAGTAATAAAGTGTCATGTGGAAAACACGAGATGATTTTTCCTTCTGCCTAAACTTATAAAATGTCAGAATTTATAAATTTGGTTTAACTTTTCAAAATTTTAGTCTGAGGAAAAATAAAAACTCCATATTAGGCCTAATGAATACTAAACCAAAATGAAGTATAATTTAATTTTTAAAAGTATCATTCACAAAAGGAAATCCAGAGGGCTCCTTTCCAGTTATTATTGCTACTAAACAATGTACCCCAAAACATAGTGGCTTAAAACAGTAATAATCATTTAATTAGCTCATGAACCTGTGTTCTGGGTAGCTCCCTTCTGCTCCACATAACATCAGCTGGAATAGCCCAGAGATTGGGGCTGATTAAGTATTTTCTCAGCTCTCCCCTTTACAGCAAAATACCCCGAAGGAGTTTTCTATCGTCACTATCCCTAATTCTCTTCTGCCATTTTCCCTTTTTAAGATTATTTTTAAAAATAATTCATTTTGAAATAATTTTCAAATGTAGAGAAAATCTCCCAGAAGGGGTAAGACTCCTGTATCCCCTCACCCAGATTCCCCAGTTACTAACATTTTACTGAATTGGTTCCATTGTTCATTACCCCTTCCTCTCCCTTCACACACACTCCCCAAACATGCATGATCATTCAACCTTTTTTGAACCTTTAGAAATCAAGCTTTATACATGATAGCCCATCACTCCTAAATGTTCCAGTCTGTATTTTCCAACAAGAACATTCTCCTACATAACTGGCATGCACCCTCCAAGTAAGGAAGCCAACATTGTTACAACACTGCCACCCAGTCCACAAACCTCATTCATATTTTGCCAACTGTCTTAGCAGTATCTCTTGTGATATCTTTTCTGATCCAGGCTCCTGTCCAGAATATGTGATGCATTTAGTTGTCATGTCTGATCAGACTCATTCAATTTGAAACAGTACTGTAGTCTTTCCCTTGACAGTTTCATTGAGTACAGACTTTACATTATGTAGGATGACCCTAAACCTTGATCCACCTGATGTTGACTGATAACCATACTTAAGTTAGACATTCTTGGCAACAACAGCACTGAAATGAAGTTATGCATTACATGAAGTGATACACATCAACCTGTTGCATCACTGGTCATGTTAACCTTGATTTCCTGATCACATTGGCATCTGCCAGATTTTCTACCCTTTTGTAATTGGTTAGTATTCTGTAGAGAGTTTTCCAAGAGTACTTTAATATGTTCCTCATCTAACCTCCACCCACCAGCTTTGGCATCCATTGACATCTGAATCAAACACCTCTGTGATAGTTGCCAGCTGGTAATTTTCTATTTCCTTCATTTCTTCTACATTTATCAGTTGGATACTCTACTAAAAGGAGGAGCTTTTCCTTCATTTATTTATTCATTTATTGATAACATAAAGACTCATTAATTCCTATTTTATTTATAGGGGGTAATCCATTATTATCATTATTTATTTTGATATTAAAATTGTCTTATTTGGCCAGTGGGGGCCCCTCTCGTTGCTTCCTGTGTTTTTTTGATACATCCCATCATTCACTGAGCATTTCCTTACTTTTAGGCATAGACAGTATCCCAGGGTCATTTTGTACTTTCCCTGGCCCAGCCCTGGAATCAGATTTTTCTCCATATAGCTCTGGTTCCTCTTAGCAGAGGATAGGTATTTAGAAAACAACCTCTGAGCACTTGATGTGCTCGATGCTACAGGGGTGTCACCACTTCTAGGGCCCCTTAGCCAAAAAAGTTAGGAAAATATCTACATATAATGTTAGAAGCAAATTAATTTTAATATGTTGGAGCTTTGATCGCAGGCATTAACTAACAATATTGTATGATATTCCAATCAGTGAGAAAAATTAACTTTTCTTTTCTTTGTTCCTCCTCCCCTAGGTATGTGTAATCCTCGAAACTATAGTGACACACCTCCAACTTCAAAGAGCACTGTGGAAGAGCTTCATGAGCCAATCCCTTCTCTCTTCCGGGCTCTCACAGAAGGAGACACTCAGTTGAACTGGAACATTGTTTCCTTCCCTGTCGCAGAAGAACTCTCACATCATGAGAATCTGGTTTCATTTTTAGAAACTGTGAACCAGCCACACCATCAAAATGTGTCTGTTCCTAGCAATAATGTTCACGCACCTTATTCCAGTGACAAAGGTAACTACCCACAGTTGACTTTCTATCTTGCCCCCTCACTTGCTGTGTGATCTGTGAAACTTATATTACCTTTTAGAGCAGTTTTTGGCTTTGAGTTTATCTAGTCTTAAGTAAATTATGGACTTTAATAACCCCAGTCCTTAAGTAGATAAGGAGGTATGTCAAGTATATTGTCACCACCCAGTGATAGAGATTGTGTTGGAAGATAGATAACCTGGTTCTAATTTTGATGTTTATTTGTGTTAGGCTTTAGTTGTTCTTTCCATAAGATAGCAACAGTGCTGCTTGCTTAATATAGTATTGCCCACTGTCAGATAACATTCAGAGAGTCCCAGGAAGTCACGTTTTTGTAATAGCATTGGCACTACAAATGATGCCAAGGTCATCAGCTAAATTTCTTTATGGGCAAGTTGATATTACAGATATCTAATTTCCAGGTATAAACTAACTCCAGTACTCTTGGTCAGAAGGGGAACTAAATGGAAGAATGGCTTATATAACTTTGAGAAGCATATTAAAGAACGCTTATTAATGTGAAGTCATTCCTTAATTTTGGAATGTACAGGGTATGTAACTTTTATAAAGTCTTCGATATTTTCAAGTAAAAGCCTCTGCACAATTTTACTGTGGAAAAATAAGGCAGTTATGAAAATTGCAGTTATTTCTTAAAATATGAGATGAATTATACATAAATAGTATAGCTTGTACTCTTTAAGATTTTATTTATTTGAGAGAAAGCGAGTGAGAGAGAGAGCATGAGCAGGGACTGAGGGAGAGAGAGAGAAGCAGACTCCCCCCTGAGCAGGGAGCCTGACGTGGGGCTTGAGCCTAGCACCTTGGGATCATGACCTGAGCCAAAGGCAGACGCTTAACTGACTGAGCCACCCAGGCGCCCCTATACTTTTTTTATTTGGCTTTTTGTTGTGCCCTCTATTACAGTCCTGCCTTTGTGAAATAGTATGAACTTTGGACATCAGTAGTAAAAGCAAAACAACATTTGTTAATGATATTCAGATTAAGAATTCTTATTGGGTTTTTTTGTTAAACTACCTTAAAAGACAAATTCTAGATTTTGGAAAAGATCAGAAATATATGGAGTGTGCCTTATTCAGATATTTTGCTACCATTTTCCCCATTAAAATGTAATCTACATAATAGATACTAAATAATTCATAAATTTTGTTCAAATGTTATTTAATTTAATGAAATAATTACCAGGCAGCCAAGTTTCCTGGAAATACCAACTATCTTCCAAGACAGAGTTAAAATTTTTCCTCTTTGACACCTTCTCTAGGTACCCCTTGCTCCCAGGTGGAATAAACTGCCTCCTATTCCTATAATTGCCTTCTCCCCATATTTATTTTTCGATTTGTTGTCTGTTTTTACCTTCTAGGTCTACCATTTTCTACTTAGTTCCTTAGATTCTCTGGTTACTCTTTGAGTCCTAATGGCTATTATTCCATAGTAGATGTTCAGTAAATACTTGTTGAATAAACAAATGAAAGGAAGTTGGTAAATACTAATCACCTGAGATTCAAAGCTCCCCTGTCCTGCTCACTGCCAATCCCTAGTCTGCCTGGTCTCGTGCTATACTGGCCTCCCTGTTTTCCATTTTGACATGACACTCAGTAGTGGTTCTGTTGTCTCCTGATGCTAACCATTCACTGCAGTGGGCTTGCCTCCACTCCATTCCCCATGCACACTACACTGGTGTCCTTGTGACTTTCCTTATTTTGTTACCTGGTAACTTTGCTTTTAATTCTTCTTCTAATACAAGTCCAGATTTTTCCATTAAGCCTTTCCTTACTATTCAGACCCCTGGTGATTTATCAGTTCTGTAAATGGCTCTGTAAAATAACAGACTTTAATCATACTCTCTCAATTAATGGTTTTTATTGTTTTTTATTTATTTCACATACCTTATGCTCCTACCAAGGTCATCAGATGGCATTAACTACCAGGAGAACTAAAAATTGAAACAATCGAAAATAGTTGTGTTGAAAAGCAAGACTAGAAATTGCTACTGATAATAAGAGTATTTTTTAATAGCCAGTGCTGAATTGTGCCATGTGTTGCTAACCACTTTGCATCATTTGAATTAAGTTTGCTTTATTTTATTGTAAATTCTCAGTATAACTTTAGAACAGAATTTTTTTTTTTTTTTTAGAGAGGGAGTGAAAAGAGTGAGGGGCAGAGGAAGAAGGAGAGAGACAATCTTTTTTTTTGAGAGAAAGAGAGAGAATCTTAAGCAGGCTCCATGTCTAGCATAGAGCTGGACTGTGGAGCTCAGTCTCACGAGCTGAAGTCAAGACTTGGATGCTCAACCAACTGAGCCACCCACGTGCCCCTAGAACATTATTTTTCAAACTTCTTTTAGCTGGAGAATTCTCTCCTCTAAGGAAATCTTACCAGAAATGCCCAATTTAAAAGTCACAGCTCTGAAGCATATCAAATGTTAAGCCCAGTAACCTTAACTTTGAGATCAAAGTCTAGAATCTAAGGAAGCCCCTTTACCTTCTTCAGCTGGAGTGGGAGACTCTGACTTCCTTCTCAATATAATTAACATATGTGATCTTTTTTCCTACACCTCATCCATTGTCCTATGCAGAGTAGCAGTAAGGGAACTAAGAATAACTATTAATATCAGCCAGGTATTAAATCATTTCCTGATTTACCTCTTTTCTTGCTCTGAGCTCTTAATTTTTTATTTTTCAGAACACATGTGTACTGTGGTTTATTTTGATGACTGCATGTCCATACATCAGTGTAAAATATCCTGTGAGTCCATGGGAGCATCCAAATATCGCTGGTTCCATAACGCCTGCTGTGAGTGCATTGGTCCAGAGTGCATCGACTATGGTAGTAAAACTGTCAAATGTATGAACTGCATGTTTTAAAGGAGAAGAATGCAAACCAAAGCAATTTAGTCAACAAGAAAGAATAAAAAGCTATTTGGTGAGGTCTACTGGTTGCACCAGAATGCTAGCAGGTTAAGAAGATATAAAGAATTTGGACTGAGTTAAAGTATGACAAATGCAGTAATGTGTTAAATTATAACTGCTCTGGTTGATTTTATAGCCCACTGTCAATAAGCCCCTTCCCCTATATACATTTACAACTTTGGTCGTATGAGAAGCAAGTACACAGAGAATTCCTTGAAAGATCTGAGGTCTCTGACATAAAGCCTGATGTCATTTTTTTCTAGCATTCCAAAAGCCTTTGGTTTTGAAAGTGTTAGAGCATGTTAACGTAAGTTATGATTTCTTCATTTACTACTACTGGGACACTGAGTTTTTCCAGTTGTACGCTAGACTTCATTCACTGTGCCTTGACTCGTTTATCTCCTTTATCTAGATATTCAAATATATCACCCTGAGAACTCACATAAAAATCACCGTTAAAAGCTTAATTTCAAACCTTGTAATGTTCGTTTTAGAAAGTAAATGCTTACTACATTTTACAGTTTAGAACTTTTATATAGTAGAATCCATCCTGTAATACACATGTTGACAGAACTTTGGGGAAAGTTTCTCCTTCTCCTACACCCCCTTGCCCAAAGTACTGAGTAGGTAGTGATAAAAGAATTTTGAACAAGAATTTCAAGGCACACCTGTATCACTGCCTTAAATATTCTGCTAGGTAAATAATGAGAAAGTTAAAGCATTTCTCTGACTTAGGGTACCAGCTTAAAGAGCACTAGCAATGGGAAATGCCTGCCAAATCAGATGCTACTGAGAGCACTAGGGAAATGGCTTGTCCCGTTGTACAGAGATGGCAAGGCTGAAAGGAGAAGCCATGCTGCTGGGTAGAGAGAACAAGCTCACTCAGCCTTAGCATGGGCAGAGCCATGTTCCCCAATGATGAGTGATAGGGGATAAAGAAGAAACTTATGGGTATGAGCAGGGAAGGTTGAAAGTGCTGGCAATTCTTATGGGAAACAAATCTAAAACTATTTACATTAATTATTTTATTATATTGTAATCTTTCCTTCAGGTTTCTGTCTGGATTGAATGTTCTTATTAAACAAATATAATCCTACAGTGGGAGGTTAAGATTATGAAATGGAAAAGAGATCTGTTCAAGATGATGTTAACTATAGACTGCTTTGTTTTACATGTTTCAATAATGGTAAATACTGTGTACCCTTCATCATAATAAAATCCCAGTCTTCAAGCATGAATCTAAAACATAAATATTTATATTACAGAGACTCTTAATTTTACAAAATTATTAATTTCTTCAGTACATTATGAATTACAAGTAACTTGTAGGAATATCTTTTTATATGTCTAAATATTTTAGTACATAAAAATAGCTAATGCTCTTAGACACTTTGTATTCATTATATGAATAGTAGTTACAAGATCATATGTAATATCATGATTAACTGTCATAAAATCTAAAGCCTTAATACCTTTTCTGTTCTTTCAGACAACTCTAATGAATACTCAAGGTACTTTAGCCTTTTCAAAAACTTTTGGCCTTTCAAAAAAAAGCTAAAATTTAGCTCTTGTATGTATATTTAAAATCGGAAAACATTGGGATATCTTTTTCTTCCTTTTATCTAGAATGCCTCTGTTTAAAAGTGCCTTGAAAACATTTTAGCTCCCCTTCCTCATTAATGCCTATAAAGCTAAAGGTTTTCTTAAAACCTTTTAAACTTAAAAAAGAGAAAGTTTTAAAAGAATCTGCATCCAGCTTCTTCATTTCCACTTTGCTATTCTTCAAAGTAATTTCATACTTATGAATAAAGAAATCGTTTTTTGTTTATTGACAGCCTGCTTAATGTTGCCTTAAATATGTCAGCAAACGTTTTTTAACTGCATTTATCACCTTGATTAGGCTCTCATTATTAAATTTTCAAATGTAATATCTCTTTTGCCCCTATACTGGGAGGGTAATTTCTTGAACCATGTTGTATTTGACCTGGTTTTCCTTACATCTTTTTCTCCCAATAGAAATTACCCCTAAATGTAATGGTAAATTTTATATTCAATTTTACTTAGTTTTTGTGGTTTATGATGGGGTTGAAAGACAGAGTTCACCTAAAAGATTCCATTTCCAGTTTATAATGTATTTCAGGTTTTGAATAACAATGTTTTCCAAATTAAAAATATAACATTTGAGAAATCAGTAGCCCCACTAAAATTTAGACCTTTTATTACTATTCTAAGTACAATTCACTTCTATATTGAAGCTCTGGTAAAAATTCTTTCTTTTTTTAAATCAAAAATTAGGTTGTTAACTTTTTTATAACTAGGTAAAAAGAACTGAAATAGTAGGTATTATATAAGCCATATATAAAAGGTTCTTTGCTCCTAATTAGTTTTTTGTCCCTCCCCACCCCAATTAGCATCAAATTATTGCAGAAATTGAACTCAAAATAGTGGCACCAAATCAAATGATAATTCAAATAAAGCAAGTCTTTGTTTACATAGAATGCTATAAAGAGAGGCTTTCATTTAGAAAAACTATTTCTAAAGATTCAGAAAACAAAATTGGTAAGATATTAGAATATTGGAACAATTATTTATAAAGCAGAGTAGCATCAAAATAGAGAAAAGAAACTAAGACCAAGTTTGTTTTTGTGAAAGCTTCTTTGAAGATTTTAAAAATCTATTTTACATTCCCCAGAGTCTATGTTAATTGTATTTCACATGATCTACAACATACAGAACTATGTATTTTTTCTTTGGTTGTCCCTATAAGCAAAAGAGTATTTTAATAAAAAATTGAAATGAGTGTGTCATGCTTTTTGTTAACTTCAGCATAGAAACACCAGAATAAGTTTGACATTTCTGTCTAGTGAAGTTATAGTTTAAAGGAACCATGTCCCCTTCTCTCTGGATGTCCCTGCAGGTTGTGTTGAAACAAAGGCTCTTTAGCAGTTTGCTCTCTGCTTTTTCAAGTGCTTTATTCCAATAAGGGGGAAACTTTGAAGTGAAATACTTAATATTCTCCTTGTTCTGCGAGCCTCAGGAGAACTATCTGATGGTTGGAAGGAGTTATAGGAAGGTCAAGGTAGGAAAATCACTCCTCGCTCTCCCACGGTGATTCTCACAGGGTTATGTTATTAGAATTGAGAGCCATAGGCTATCCCCTTACGGTAGAATCAGTGTTATTTCACAGAATCTACGTTCTGAAAGCCTAGTGGAGGGCGCCTGGGTGGCTCAGTTGGTTAAGCGACTGCCTTCGGCTCAGGTCATGATCCTGGAGTCCCTGGATCAAGTCCCGCATCTGCGGGGCTCCCTGCTCGGCAGGGAGTCTGCTTCTCCCTCTGACCCTCCCCCCTCTCATGTGCTCTCTCTCATTCTCTCTCTCTCAAATAAATAAAT